GGGCTGGTTTTGAGCTAAGAGAAATGGTGCTGTGTAATAGAGCCAGCTGCCAGACTGATTCCAAGACCTTGCAGGATGATCTAGGATAAAGGAGATGGCTTTCAGTCTCGAGTGTCTAGCAACCAGGGACAGCTCTAACTGCTTGAGATGTGGATACGAGCGGAGAATTAGTTAGAAAAATTTACTTGTGTTCCTTCTTATTCTCCAGAATTAGTTTTTCAGTCCAGTTAGGAGACCCACTTTCCCCACTTTGATGGTACTAGCAGCTCTGTGACATCTGTCCTAAGATACTCCATTACTATCCTCTTCCCATGTTTTCACACACAGTCAGAAATGAAACCCTCCTCTCCAGGACACAACTCCTGGCTGAAGTCACAGTGGATGGAGGTGGTGTAGAAATGGGTTCACGTTGTCTAATTTCAGGCAGTGAGCTCAGTTAAGTCTCCTCTTCAACTGCCTTCACGCCAAAGTTGAAAGTAGAACTGTGTGAATGTCTTCCTCAGCCCTTCATCCTCCTGTCCCTGTAGTGTGTCATTCATCTGGTGGACACAGTCTGTAAATCCAGCTCCAATAAATCTTAATTATTTACATCAACTTTTACAGTTCTTTTTGGAGAGACTGTGAGAGGATCATCTTATTGCAGCTGACATTGGGCACCTTAATTATTCGACTTGCAACTAACCTGAGCTGGAGAAGTGTAGGTGTGTGTCTCCCTCTTTCTCTCTGTCTTATGATTTTCTCTATATCTTCAGATTTTGATGAAGTGTGGAAAAGAAATTTTCCTTTGAAATCACTAAACATTTCACTGGCCATAAGAGCCATTTCTCATCCATCTCCAGTCAACATTTCATGTCCTTAATTTCTGATAAGGGAAAAATCTTATAATGAACAATCAGAAATGGCATCATTAAAGTTGGAGATGTAAAAGGGAGCTACAGGAGTGAGATGGTACCAGCACACATCTTACTTCTACAGGAGATTCCCTAACTCTCTGAAGATGAACCATGAAGGCTGGTTGATATTAGGTGGGGTTTGTGTTAGCTTTCTGCTTCTGGGTGGAATAAAGACCATATGGGAACTAGAAAAGAGGTCATTTCAGTCCCTTGCTCGGTGATTTTATGTGACATGGGTTGTAAAACTTGTGATATTGCTGCGTACAAGGAGAAGAAATTGTGTGTGTGTTAACACTCCTCTTCTGTCCCTTCTAATATACAAATGGGGAGTGAGGCAGGCACAGGGCTGGGAGGGGGTCATCTTTGGAGGGGTCTCAGACATGCAGCTTCTGATGCAAAGATTTTACTGCTGGTAAAGTACAGATACTGGCAGAAGTTGTCACCATCCAGATAAAACCTTTTTTTTTTCCCCCTTCTCTATCAGCAGCTACCTATAACATCTCCCCATTGGTAGAATAAATCTGATAAAAAAAATGTAGTTGTAAGCAGCAACGATTTTATCCTAGTGAAAAAAAATTTTCCAATAGAAAAAATGTTGTGCCTGGGCAAAATTTTTCAGATATGATGAATAACAGCATAGTATGACCCTCAGTCCTAAGAATTTAGTTTTAAAAGAACTACTGAGCATATCAGATATACTCAACTTTTTCTCTCCTATCTTTTTTTTTCACAGGCAGTTTGGTTTACAGATACATCTTGACAAAAATCTGCCACAGGCAAATTTCATCAAAAGAACAACTTCAAACACATCCAATTAACAATTTATGAAAGGAAATCCAACAGAAAATTACACAGAGATTCACAGGGCCTAAAATTTGACACTAAATCAAATTTAATGTGGAAATGCCTGTATAGGGAGTTATGGCCCCTTCCAGTGCATTGTCAAAAGGAACTTTATCTGTGGAGGCTCCATGAGTGCCCTCCATCATATCCTTTCTTGCTATAAATAAAATATTTTGTTAGACATGGCAATAAGCACAACTCAAAAGGGAATGAAAACCACAGAATAACCAAGCTATATGCAGTTTTCAATCAGAAGTATTAAAAGTCATTAGATTTCTTCACACTTTCGAATCTAGGATTTGTTCACTTTATCACAGAAATGAGGGGCACTGTACCATCAACAAATACAAACCCACATTTAATTTGTTAGCACAGCCAGCCACCATACATACCCCAGTAGCAGGTCATGGTGACTATATTTAAAGTTACTATGGAGCCGTTTTTATGTCTGGAAGGAAATTTCAGCCCCCCTGCATCCTGTTATCTCCTGATTTACTCACTCATTCAGCAGCCATGGTTGGATTTTCTCGAAAGATGTTAAGGATACAAACTCACATAATTGCCTTCAGCAGCTCTGAAATTAACTTAAGCCACTACTTTGTTTAGAGAAAAACATCTGTGTCTAGACCATTATCTATTTAAACACATGAATAGCCGGCTTTTGTAAGAGATGACTGATCAGCATCACTTGCATTGCACTATCTGGATTATTTGGGGGAGCATGTTATTTACAGACACCAGGACCAACAAGTGGGGATGACTAATAGAGTTGACACAGGCCAAGATCAAGCATATTTGTGATACAACTGTAGTTTTACATGGACTACAATAATTTGAAGTGTTGGTTGCTCTATCGCTGGCTCTCCTGTTAATCCAGTGCTCCCACATCAGAACAGAACAGGAAACATTTGATAACTTGTAAATTTGTTATCTTCCACCAAAGTGCATATTTGCGTAGGAAAATGTGGCTTTAAGTCCCCACTCATGTGCATTTAGGTCCATGGCACAGCGTCCTTGCTGTGACAGTAGTACAAGAATTTCATTAGATCACTGTTTTCCTGTGTCTTCAGAGGACAGACACTGGGGCTCTTCCAGCCTACTTGGCGTTGTGCAGTGTAATTGCCTCTGCGTGTGCTACTTAGCCCGCTGGTGAAGTTGAGAGGACACCTCTGCCACTGTAAATGAAGCATTAGAATACCCCAATGGTTTTTTTCTTGAGTCCATTAATATATGCTTTTGGCAGTGAAACACTCTACCAGATAAGTTAGTGTCCAAGGCATGTAATAATTAGTGAATAAAACACCCCCAGAGTATCTTAATCCTGTATAAATGTGTCTTTTAAACTGTAAATGAATTTTTAACCTAATTTTAAATTATGATTTCCTTCCTGTAACACACCCTTTCTCTGTAGATAACAGATCCCAGGGAAGCAGAAGGTGAAACAAAGACAGACATTAATGTCAAAGATTTTTATCTTCTGTTTATATTTTTGAAAGGTATTTGACTGTTTACTACCATTTTTTCTGTATGCCTCTACTTCTTCCATCACCCCACTTCCTTTGTCACGTTGTATAATTTTCCTTGTCTGCAACTGGGTGATGACGATAATAATAATGAATTTTACTTTTGTTAGGCAAGGTCTAGATTTAGGCAACTGCAAAAGTTCTTTAGTTTCTAAATGCAGAAATTATACACTTTTTAAAGAATTAAAGAGTTAAATAAGAGTTTCCAGATGCCTGATATTCTTCAAAATCTAGCCAGCTATTGTGTCTAAATGTGACTGTAAGAGTTAAATGTTACCCATTCCATGCCTTCTTCACAGTTCCTCCAAGGCAGATCTCTAAGCAAACAAGCAAGAAGTAAAACACATTATAAGTGACTTTTTTTTTTCTCATTCCCCTGCCTCCCTCATGCATGCTTGATTAGGCTTCTCATTCTTGCCATGGTGATTTGGCATTTTTTCCACTGGAACTTCCAGTCCAGTCCTCCCAGTTCTTCCAGTTCTCCAGTCCTTCTGTGCCCTTCCAGCAAGCTGCCCGATGGCCTTGCTTCCTATTCAGTCTGTGGGAATTCAGGGCATTTAATATCTTTGACAACTTAGCCACAGCAAGACAGCAAAGGCCTTTATTTCTCAGGCACAAGTCGTTGAAAAGCCCCAGTGTTTGTGCTTCAGAAAAGCCCAGGTTCAGACAAGTGAACATCCCCCTGAATTCTTGTGCTTGTTTTCTCCCGTAGCTTTCAGAGACTTTGGGGACATTCAGGTCAAGAATGTGCTGTAGAGACTGCCATTTCTTCTTTCAGCTTCAGAGCATCGAAAGCACTTGGATTGTAACTTTTGATTAGGAGTCAAAGCTCAGCACAAGGCCAGTTTAAAGGACCATGTGCATTGTTTGATGTGAAATATTCATGGAGTTGTAGGATTGGAGTCTTCAGCAGTGCCTATTAGTTTAGAGCTCGATCTCAGCCTCCTGTTCCTCCAAACCCACCTTGTGTTGGTTTGTTCTCTGAGTCCAGTTTAGACTGAACCTAATGCCTCTGTAGGCACAGAAGCTAAAGGCTGGGAGGAGGAGAAGACCTTGTTAAACCTCTGCCCCTACATGCAGTGTAGATGCAGCTGGATCATAAACAGACTCTTTCAATCTGGATCTGAATACAAGGACAGCTCCCAAAGGCAGTATGAACATTTAACTACCTAGAAAATGGTACCTGATATGTACGCAACATCGAGTCAACTCTATAGAGTGAACACCATGAAACCGTGAGTGGCTCAAACTGATGACTATGCAGTCACATTACTATAATAATTTTTTTAGCTGTATTTAGTTTATCTCATAAATAGACAAGATAGCATCCATTGTTACGTTGAATGTTGCAAGTTGGATCATAAAGTCTTCAAGGCAAATGCATAGGCTTTACGTCTGCTTGAGAAAGTATCTAATTCCAGAAGAATTTGCAGGAAAGTCAACAAGGTAAATGTGTCATTTTTCAGATGCACGTAGATGTTTTGTTCTGTCAGAACAGTCGGAAAATTGAAGCTGGTTGCTGGGGCTCAAATGTAGCTCAGGAGATCTGTTTCAGGTCCTAACACTTTCTTCAAGACTCGATATGTTTCCTTTCATGTAACTTACTCTTCCCCTCTTCACCTTTTCACCACTATTTATGCAATCTATTATATTACTATTTTCTTTTCCCTTAAGAAGGCTATGGAAAAATGAACAATATTTAGACTTCCTTTGCTTTCTTTCCATTCTCCTATCTCAGCAGAGTCCTAGGACCCCCTTCTCTGACCTACCTGATGATGAGAAGATCTTTAACAGGGGAGATGGCATGTGGCAGAACCAGAGCCAGGATCAAGCCTTGCTTTCGGAAATCACAGAAGAGGATCTGGAGGCCATCCGTCAGCGGGAAGAGGCCATTCAGCAGATTGAGGTCAGTAACTTTCTCCTGTCATGGGCTTGCGACCTGGAAGTGCAGATTCCTTGTGTTGTGCATTGCTCAACATGACGAAGGAAATGCTGATTTACATGACTGCCTGTACAGCATCGCTGAACATGGGAGAGATTATCAGGTGTTTCTAAAAATGGCAATCAGTGGCAGGAGGAAGAATTAGAAATCCATATGACCTGTAATGAAAATGACAAGAATTAATTAATATTCAAGGGCTAATGTTTGGTTTTTTTCAGTGGGTCTTCCATGACAGAGTCTATAGTGAGGTAGTTAAATTGAGCATGGTTCTGCAGCAAAACAACTTTCTTAGTGCATGCAAACTTGAAACTGGAATTTGTCACAGACAGAAAATATTCAACTTTACCATTAGGGAGAATAATAGGTAGAAGAAAGGAAATAACTTGTTAACTTTTTCAAATAATTCAATATTTTTGCTTTATCAAAGTATTTGGATGTTCTTGATGTAGTTAAAAGAAGACATTATTTTTATTCCCTTTTTTTAAAAAGTGCTATAAATAAAATATGGAAAAAGGAACAAAAAGAGGTCTGAATAAGTTAAGCATCCCACATTTTTCTTTTTATATTTCTCTTTTTATGCTTTTGGGAAACTCTTGTTACTCAAATTTAAGCAATAAATGAGTAAAACCAGAACATTTTAAATCTTTATAATTTGTATGCTTTTACAGGCCTAAACTTAAGATGAACCAAAAAAAGAGGGCTTCAGAATTATCAGAACATTTAATTAAGGACTATACTTCGTCCTTTAATTGGATTGAGCTAATTTTATCAGAATAGATTTTGGATGCAGTATAGCAGGATTTGTGATTGAGTTAATGGTGCAAAAAGGGGACAAAC